AGAAACTTTCGCAAAACTTGTTATTAGATCATAAAGAGGAGGTCATTATTTTTTTCATTAGGTATAAAGTTCATGGTGAACATTCTAATTCTCTACAAGGTCGTTTAACAAATGGAAAAAAGAAAAAATCTAAAAAGAAAAAACCTATTTCAACGGTACCAACTAAGCCAAATCGTAGTATTACAACACGTGGTCAAAATTTAAAAACTTCCGAACAAATTGAAGATAATGATGATGAAACAAATGATGATGATGAGGATGACGACAGTGAACCAATGGATTTTGAACGTGCATTTGGTTCCATATCCGATATTCCAAAATTAGAATATATGAATATTTATCAAAATAATAAAATTACTGATAGTTTACATACTTTCGAAGGAGAATCATATTTTGATCTTTCAACTAAGATTGATCTTAAAACTTATACACAACCAGTTCTTGTTTCATCCACGATTAATTTAAATTCACTGGCTGCTGTAAGTTTTTCATTAATAAACGAACCAAAAAAAAAAAGGTTCTATTGAATCTGTTTTTTTTTTATTTTCTATTTTTAGTTATTCAATTTAAATGATAAAGATATGAATGATAGTCAAACCGTATTTGAATATCTTGGTTATGAATTAGCTGTTCGTTGTGCTAATGATCTTAGTTATGCTCGTCCATTATATATTCAATGTTGTTCATTACCAATATCATCATACGAACGTTCCATTCAAAGATTCTATCAAGGAATTGAACAAGCATGTCAACAATTAAATTGTACATTACTGAAAACGACGTCAAATTCATCATCATTTAATGCATTATGTACAGGTATATGTAATCGAGAATTATTTATACTTAATAATGATAAACATAATCCAACAATAAATGAAGGTGATTTATTAATTGGACTTCGATGTAGTTCAGGTACAATAAATAGTCAAGGTTATATTCAATTAAAAGAATTATTTCAAAAGAAAAATGTTCATTTAAATGATATATTACCATTTCGAAATAATGATGGTGAAGAAGAATCTTTTTTTTCATTATTATTACAAAAATCATCGATATTAACATCAACATTAACGAGTATTATTAATGAACTTATTTTAAATCGAACCATTAAAATTATACGTTATTTAAAAGGTATATATTTATGTAATTGATTACTTAGATAATTATTAATTTAGATATTGGTCTTGCTCGTGTGATTCAATCATTACTTGATTCATCAACAGGAATATTAACTGCAGAATTAAATGGACAGCAATGGCCCGTTATGCCACCAATTTTTACATGGATTTATCAAAATGTAAATAGAACTAGTATTCATTTGAAAATATTTTATACAAAGTGTCAAAATTTATAGTCTAAGGATCAACTTTTTTCTTGTAATCTGATTGGAGGTCATATAAGTTAAATCAATGAATAGCATTTGCTAACTTGTACGAATAAGGCGCAATAAGACATCCGAAATTCGGTATACAGTTAGATTTCCATAGGGCACTTGTTTCCGCCACATGATCTCAAAGAAGTATAGAAGTTAAAATTTTGATTCTTTCCTTTCCAGCATACTGTGATAGAAGTTGTTGATATATGATTCAAGACCGTATGGTAATAAACTCTTGTTTTAATATACGAACTACTTCTTTATTGCATATCTGGAGGATTAAGTTAAAGAAAGGTGAAGCAATGTGTCTCGAAATAGATAGAATAAGACAATCTTGTAATGATTGTGCTAACAGTTTCTTTCGTCAGACTTTTGCACAATAATTGAATTCTTAGATAAATTACTCATCATCATAGGGCATATCATAAATAAATTCGATACTTATTAAAGAGGCTTTTAAAATAGAAATGTATTGTTTTCGGAGAAAAACCCTGATAGAGAAAAAAATTAATTTTTACTGATGAAGTTTTATGCAATCTGCTTTTTTTCCAGCCACTAAAATCGCCTCGAGACAAAGGTTGGTAGGATCAACGTTAGTTTCCGTTCCAACGCTTGAGACCAGAATTACGAGAAAAAAAGTTATCCCAACAAGTGCTATAGATTCAAAAGAGTTGCTATTTGTCAACTAAATCAAGCTAAAAACAAGTATTGTAGAATTTTTTTAGATGTGATACAAATAAGCTCTCGGGAAGTTTTCTCTAGACCGGAACCAAAAAGCTTTCTGCTATATATTCCATTTTGGGAAGATCAAATAAGTATTCTTTTCGTTACTTATAGTTGAGATAAATGAACATCATCATAGAGTTCATACAGGAATTTTATTTCAAAATAATTAAAAAGTTCCATATTTTGATTTAATGACAATAGAAAACAATAAAATTCTAAACGTTTATCTAATATAAGCTTTGACATCGTATCACATAAGTTTTCGTGATCAAATAAAATATAAATAATATCTTTTTTATATTTTCAGAGTGGTTTTAGTCAAGATGAAATGTTTGAATATTTTAATTGTGGTATTGATTATTTAATTATAATTGATCATAAAAAATCTTCAGTTGAAAATATTCTTCAACAATTAACTCAAACATATACATCATGTTTTCTTCTTGGAACATTTACTTCAATAAGTAACTAATTTAAATTGAAATTCTTTTATATTGTAGAATTATTATTTAGATTCTAGTCCAATACGTAATAAATCAATACATTTACCTCAACAATCACGACCACGTACTGTTCAATTAAAAAATGTTTTATTTAAATATCCAAAACCATGTTTTACATCAAATGATACTTCGATTGTTACTAAAGATCGAATGAAACAACCAATTGCAAATGATAAAACACGTTGTGCTGTACTCATTTCAACAAATGGTAACAAAAGAAAAAGAAGAGAGAAAAGAAACTTGTTTTAATTATTTTTTTTTTTGTTTCTAGATACTTCATTACTTTCTCTTCTTGCATATTCAACTTCAACAATTGAATGTGCATTTGAAATTGTTCTTGTACTTTCCACTTTAGCTAGTCTATCAGATATAGCTCGTGTTAATGAAGTCTATCCATCTGTTGTAACAAAAGTTATTCAACCAAAAAAATATGCTGCAAGAAATTATGATTTAGTAAATATTCATTCAATTTCACATATCATTTAGTTTCTTCATTTTTTTTTCTGAAGGATCAAAAAATAGATGATGAATTACAATTACATGGTTGTGAATTAGTTATACTTGATCGTTATGCATGTCGTTTATCACCATCGTTTATTCAAGCATGGCGCGGTCGATTATTAAATATATATCCATCATTATTACCATCATTTCGTCATAGTACATCACCAGTTCGTGATGCATTGCAAGCTGGTGTTCGTATAACAGGTGTTACAGTTCATTTTATAGCTGAACCTGATACAGATAATGATGGACCTATTATTGCTCAAGAAAGTATTCATGTAACACCAATTGAAAATGAAATTCAATTAGAAAATCGTTTACGTACACTTGAACAACAATTATATCCGAAAGCAATTGACATGGTTGCATCAGGAAAAATAATTTATGAAGGAAAAAAACGTATGGGAAAAGTCAATATTGCTCCGACAATTGCATCTTCAGCTTATTAAAAATAAGCTTTTGTTTTCATCTATATTTGTGTCTGTACATTGAACTATATGCATCTGTGTTATTTTGTTTCCTTAAAATACACAGAGTTTGATCTTTTTTTTCTTGTTTATGTTGTAGTTTTGTGGTCTTGTTTATAAAAAACGAACACAGCAATATATATATATGCGTGTGTGTATATAATCACTGATATAGACTGATTTTTTGGAATAGAATCAATGTTTATTGAGTGAAATCAATTTTTGGATTCATCGAATGAATTTCCTGTAAAGTTTTTAGTCAAACAAACGATTAAAGAACAAAAGTTAACTGATTTTAGTTGAAAATTGAAAGCTAACATAATAGTTTATAATGGACAAATGAAGACTCTAGACCAGACTCAATTACAAGAGAAACCAACAGAAAGGCAATTAGTTTGAACGACAGGATGACCCGTAAATAATTAGATGATAAGAATTTTAAATATTTTCACAAGCTGAAATGTAGCTCAATAATAGAAATTTACTCAACGTTTTTTTTTCATAAGAGAGACGTTAATAAATACAGGTTTGAACTAGTAAGATTAATGTCAATAAGCACTTGTTACTCGTTACAGATTCGAAAAAGAAATGTTATGGAATGATCCATACCCGTTTCTAAGACTTTTTTCTCAGTTGGTGACATGAGAAAATCAAAACAATGTTAATTCTACCCGTTACAGTGAGTACTTAAACTAACATTATGGAGCAACTTAATTCAAACGCTCTTATTCATTTCCATAAACATCGATGCACCTTTGCAGTTTTCCAGACACATACCAAAATTTAGTGTTGAAAATTCTGAGATAATTGACTGCATAAAATTAGCCAAGTTTCGAAGGTTGCTTTTGTACACGATATCTTTAAGATAGTGCAACAAGAAAAAGCCTATTGATGTGAAATCAGCAGACCTGATAGACCAGTCTCTTGGACCATCATGACTGATCCGTCGTCCTGAAAAGTTTTCATCAATCCAATCTTGAACATCAAGTTAGTGACAATTACAAGCACTATGTCGATATACATGTAGATTGTCAGCGATATTATCGATTTTTTTTCAAATTACAATAAAGATAAGAATAGTTTTTCAAAACCCGAAGATGAAGTCAAAGATCAATAACATACACGAGCATTTTGTATTTTAGCATATTTCATCATATTTATGTGTACTACATTGTAAATCTGATGTCTTTATAACTTAACATGGTTTTGTCCATTTCTCCAACGAATAGAAGGGTGTGAGTGCTCGTGTTTGTACGGGTGTTGGCTGACTTTACTCCTACACTCATATCGCACACTCATACCTACATTCACACCGACCACACATACTCTCAAGAAAAAACAAGTGATCCAATAGAAGCTCGATGCAGAGCATATTTAGAAAAGATTTCTATTCGTGGTGATGGCAGAATAGTCCTAGATAAACATATGGGTTGTGGTGCACGTAAAACATCTATGAAAACAATTGAAAAAGCTACATTAATGACAACATTTAGAGTTCTAGTAAGTGAATTAGAAAAAATGTCAGTAGCTGAAGATGTATATGTGTTCCATCGTGTAAAACATAGACATAGTTAAGTTTCACAAGAATAAACAATTAATTTTGTGAAAACATTATTTGAAAGATCGTCATCAGTGGCAACATCATTACCGTGAGGAAGAACAAAATCTAGAACGATTGCATGTAATGTACTTAGGCCACATTTCACAAGACAAATAATTGATGAGTTATTGAAAGAACGTTTTTATTCATTATCATTTGATGCATCAAATAAAGATAATCGTAAAACTTATCCATATGCTGTACAATTTTTTCAGATGCTAGTATTAAAAGAGGTAGTTATTTTTCGATACTTACAAATGTCTTTATTTTATGTTTGAGCATATTGTGTTTTTCACCCAGGACTAATTGAATTTAAAGAAGATCTACATGCAACAGCAGCAAATATATTTAAAAAGACATGTAAAATAATAAATGATTATTAAATAAAAATTGAAAATTTGACAAATATTGATGACGATTATACTAATATGAATTTTGATAAACAGCATTTAATATTTAAATTATTTAAAGATCAATTTCTGCATGTTGCCAAAGATGATTTATCATTTATTGTAGACTAATTTTAATACATCTTAGTTCAAACTACACATTTGTTTTGTTGAATTTTAGGAAACTGTTATGCATATATATTATACAATGAAGTAAAACATGCGCATGATGTTTTACCAATTGATATTGAAACTACTTTGTGTAAAATTCAGCACTTGTTGCGAGATGGCCTGAACAAGCGAAAACTCAAAACTAGCAGCTAAATCATCAACGGGATATTGTTCGAATTGATTGACTCGTACATTGATCTTGTAGCAATGTAGTTCTTGACCACTATTGTGCCCGTTCTAGTCTTCACTTTTTCATTCAGTCAAAAGCTCAGCGATGAGAGGTAGGTGCTGGCTTAATTCGAGAAACAATACGGTATTCATTCTGATATATGTATCAGTAATAGTTCTTTCAAAAATTATCATGATCAGTTAAACCAGAGAAATATATGAGATAACGATCTTGGTACGATGAAGAGTGGAAGATGAATTTCGGATTCGCACATGAATTTTTTCAAGACTCAGATCAAGATTTCAGCAAAAGAATGTATTAATATCGTCATTTACAATAGTTTTTTTCTACCTTAAAGATAAATGTATATACAGGTACATCTGCAGTCAAAATCAAACTTACCCAATATAAGGAGACTAAGAGAGATATTTTTTTCGTCATACTGTAAGATTATTCGGCATTTTTCGAGTATCTTTCTAGCTAATTGCTTTCGCTCCACTTTGTATTGTGAATGCAAACGAAACATTTTTTCTTCTATTTTCTCTGCGTCGTAATCGATGCGCACAGAAGAATTGCAGCGTCACTAAACATTTATTCTAACTAATCCATCGATTTGTATTTCTTCTTCAATTGAAACTGACAAGACAACCAAGGTGAAAACAGTGATTTATCTGATCTCTATTATAGCATTCGCGGCAGTGTATTGCAATGCACGAAAAGCAGAAAAGTTATTTCACTCCATAGAGAAACGTAGAATTCATTCAATTTTAACCAAATTATATTGATCAGAGAAATCTGAACTAAATGCATAACAGCAAGCGAAATATTCAAATATCATCTCTGAATTACTCATTTGGGGTTATCCATAAACAGCGTTCAGTAAAAACCAGTCTTTTCTGACCATTTTCCTCCGACCGGTTTTCCCGGTTCCTATCTACCATTTTCCTCTTTCAAACGCTCAATTAAGACTTTTTTATCAAGGTAGCAGGATGAATTTTGCAAAAACTGAACTAATTGCATTTCAATCATTTCTTGTATTCTTTAATTATAAAAGATAAAAAACAAAGAAAACTGTGTTGTTTAACGGTACTAATCATGAGAGTTTTCATTCTTCAATAAATTTACTAGTTGATCACACTGCATCATTTTGAATAAATTAAACTGATCAAACTAGACAAGAAAGTTACTCTTGCAACAAAATGACAATTAATTGTAGAGTGTAAAGAAACAAAAACAATATGTGCTCAGTAAAAACTGAGAGCGAAAATCTTCTTGGTTACCAGATAAAACCAATGAAACGTGTTTCGATAAATTTATACTCATAAAAGCGACGTTTCAGTCAAAATTTCCAAGTCATAGAATATAAATTTAGAGGTTGTTTTACCGAACGTTCTTTATGAATGGGCCACTCTTCTTCAGTGATCTTCAATTACAATGTCAATTAATATTCATTAGTTCGAAACGAGTAAAATATCTGAACAGTATGATAGTCAGCATTATTCATTTTTCATGTGTACATCAGTCTTAGGACTAACTCGAAATCTTTTTGCCTTGAGTAAACTAAACATCTGAATCAAAACTTTGTTTGAGTCATTCATTTGCCATCTACTTGTTGATCAAACAATTAATTTCAAATATTCACTTCGTAGGAAGCTAAATATGTGGAAAAAGTCCAGCTTAGAATTATTTATTATTCGTATACTTTTTGATCATATAACGAGGTTGTTGCTAAAAAATCTATAATTGAAAATGGGAAATGAGAGACGAAGTATCTCTTGCCTTAATCTCACTTTATTCTAACTATGTTACTGGGGTCTTAATCACTCCCTTGAAGAGTATTTTGATGGACTACAATACTCTTTATATTATCCGTTAATCTATGGGCAAAAATGACTGGAATATCGCTAAACGGTGTCCCCTAAAAACTATCTTGCCAAACAATCAGCTTCAAAAATATGCAATAAAATTGAATGTTATAAGACTCGAGATGAAATAAAAGTTTGTTTGACTGGATTTCACTCATATAAAAAGCCATTCACCGAATCCGCTCACATAAAATGAGCTGGTCAATTCTTCCGAATCATTGAACTGTCAGATATCTATTATGACATAAAGCAAATTAAACTGAAAAAATGTTCAAAGACGTTAAGTAAATCTTAATTACTTTGTGTATATGGCTATAAGTTTGTTTGCATGTTCGATAGTTTAGTTTTATCGTATTACACCATCGAATACTACTCTTGTATCGCTATCACAAGTAGCCAATTTAAAATGCTGAAGAAAAGTTTTTTATAAGTTGAATTAACTTTCTAAAGTACTAAAATATAATCGAGTCAACAAAAGTATTTATGCTTTTTTTTTTTTGAGTTTCTTTTAATATAGATTATCTACATATGACCATTAAAAGTCCTTTTTACTAATAAAAAGACTGATCTAGTTGTACCTTTCAAACTATGAAAATCATCGAATAATTATTCTTTTTATGTTTGAGTATTTCTATTCTGTGTTAACAGTTGGTAGTGAATACATGAGTCTTTTCGTTTCGTATAAATGATATGAATGAAGCAATGCACTCATGGAGCGAAAGAAATTACTGATCATTATCATTAAATATTCATTTTTCATTTGCATTCGAAAAATAAAAACATCGAAAATTATGCGTCAACATAATTATACAAAAATTATTTTCAAACTACCAGAAACCTCTTTATGGCTGACCGACATGAAACGATTTATAACATCGTTTTATTTTTTTCATTCTCGTCATAAATGTAAAAACACTCTAATGATATGTGCATAAATAAATATAAAACAAGATTATTTATTCATTCAATTTTCTGTTCGTCGAAAAAAAGTAAAGAAAAACCATGGCTTTGCCTTTACAATTTTACGTCTTACTACTTGTATTAATCTATGTTGACACAACAACAAATAGTTAAAACATTGAAAAATTAAATTTCAATATCATGTTAAGAATTGTTTTTTAGATATTCAATGCGATACAAATGAAAAATACATGTGTGGACCAAGTTGTATTAAAACATGTGATTATACGCCTAAAATTTGTACGATGATTTGTCAATATGGTTGCTTCTGCAAGTCTGGATATGTGCGTATGTCTAATGATAGTGGAAGTCCATGTATCATGCTCAAGGATTGTTCGAAAAAAGCAAACATTCCAAAGTGTAGAATAAATGAAGAGTATAAAAAATGTGGTTCAGCATGTCCACGTACGTGTAATAATTTCTCATATCCACTTTCAAAAAGTCCTCAAGCATGTATAGCAATGTGTATATCTGGTTGTTTCTGTAAACAAGGTTACTATCGTTCAAAGAATGGTCAATGCGTTGAGCCAGAAAAATGTTGTACAGACGACAATGAACAATATTCAGAGTGTGGATCGGCTTGTATTGAAACTTGTAATTACACACCACAGTTCTGTACGGATCAATGCGTTGCTGGTTGCTTTTGTCAGTCTACTGATTACGTTCGTAAGAATAACAGCACTGTTAGTCCTTGCATTAAACGTGCTAGATGTCGAAAATAATATCCATTTATCACATAAAAACAATACATTGAAATCCTTGTCATCGTCTAAGTTTAAATAAATAAATAATTTATAATAAAAATGCTTTTTGATGAAGAAAATATGATCGATCTTGTATAACTTCAGATACTTTTATACCTGAAATAGTGATATCTTACTTCTATCAAAAACATGACGTGCTATTCATGAAGACATGAAACATATGGGTATGGGTGAATGTGAATGGAGGGTAGAATGAATAATCATACCTACGCCCGCACTCTATGAAAAAGCTTTCGGAGATTGCTGAAATTTTCGTTTTGTTAAGGATAAAAATATAATACGGTCACAGAACTGTTGGCAATTATTGAAAGTTAATAGCGCGAACTTCAGACTATCCGTAACCGTATATTATTATTATTATTTTATACTTATAAGAATATTTTTTTCGTAATAAATATTATTTTCAGTTTATGTTCGTGTTGTAAGACTATCAAGTGCATCAATTACTTGAAAATTAAGCATTCTTCCTTATTTTTATTAAATAAATAATTTGCAAGTATAAATATTTTGTATTACAAATGTATACCTATAAATATATGCTACATGAGCCTCTCCATAATTTAATTTTCGGTCTATCACAAGAAAGATATTATGCATTCGATATTACGTGCTACTTTTCTGCTCTTAATAGTAATTGTCGTTCAAGGAAGTAATATAAGTTTTGAAAACTTTTGTTCATATTCCTATTCCTCTACGTTTATCTTAGACTCATCCTCGGATCCAGTATGCGGCAACAATGAACAATATACATGTGGCGCAGATTGTATTGAAACATGTGATTACAAACCGACCTTATGTTCACACATATGTCGATTCTGTTGTTTCTGTCAAGATGGATATGTTCGTCAGTCAAATAACACTGATAGTCCTTGTGTTAAACGTGAAGACTGTAACAAAACAACGGAGTCTCCACTATGTGGAGAAAATGAAGAATATCAAGAATGCGGTTCAGCGTGTTCACGTACGTGTGATGATTTTTCTTATCTAACTCCAAAAAAACATCAAGTATGTGTAACCATGTGCGTATCTGGTTGTTTCTGCAAACAAGGTTACTATCGTGCCAATAATGGTCAATGCGTTGAGCCAGAAAAATGTTGTACAGACGACAATGAACAATATTTAGATTGTGGTCCAGCTTGTGTTGAAACTTGTGATTATGTACCACAACTTTGTACACTTCAATGTGTTTCCGGCTGCTTTTGTCAGTCTACTGATTATGTTCGTAAGAATAACAGCACTGCTAGTCCTTGCATTAAACGTGAACAATGTTCTGAATGACGTCTCTCTTTGAAATAACAAACAATTAAATTTTGTAATTGTTTAAGATGAACTAAACAAAAGACTAATATTAAATATATGTTTATTAATCAAAATATGATCGATCTTGTATAACTGCAGATTTTTTTGTACATGATATTGTAATATCTCACTTTCATACAAGAAATCGTTTTTTTTCTAATTTCAACAAAGCATGATAATTATATTTGTGAGTTTAAATCAAGACAGTGAATATGTGCCATAATCGTTGTTTTTTCTTTTCCAAAAAATGCTTGAAACTTATACTGTCTAGAATCTACTTCTTTATGACAGTATCTCATTATTTTATACTTTTACCAAAAAAAAAAATTAAGCGTCTCTCTTCACAATTACTGTATTAAATAGTCTATACAAAGAAAAGCTTTTCATTATTTATACAGCATAAACCTGCCTGATTAATTTACTGTTATACTCTCGGTATATCATGCTATTATTTTGACTGTTATTGGCGACTACTACCAAAGAAGATAAAGTCAATTTGAGTAGCTTGACCCTATAACAGGTTATTTTCTTTTATTTATATGTCCAATTCATCAATAGCGCTTGTTTCTGGTAATCATGAAGTATACAAATGTAATATATTTTTTCCTAAGACGCTATTATATACTGGGATTTTGCAAAGAAATATGCAGTTTTGACTGTTTCTATCTAAGTAGATATATGTTCGTTAGTCAAATGATATTAAAACACCATATGGAAAACTTGAAGACCACGAGTGAGCACTTGATTATGTATAAGAGCAATGTATCTCGCAATATTCGCTCTAACCTATAATGTTTTCTGTATATTTCAAGGATAACTATAATTTTATACAAACTACTTGTTCTTGCAAAGAAGGATTCAATCACACTATGATTATTCAGTTATTTAAATCTCGAAATGACATAGTGAATCAATCATAGTACGGATATACACCATGCAAATATATCTTTTTTTTCTGGATTAATATGCATCAAAAACAATTTCTACTCGATATAGGAACAAACCTATGTTTATTTCGAGAGTTTTGAAGATTAGATATTACGATAATTAGTCACGCTAGAAGTTGAATGTACAATTACGATTATAAAAGAAGAAATTGCCTGTTTTCTTTTTTCCATTATTATCAAGGTTTTAAAATTGGCTTTCGACAAATTTTTTTCATTTCAGAGTCGTCAAAAGATGTTTTATCAAGAAAAAGAATAATTTTCGTTCATGTACTAAAAAAATAATAATTTCAGAGTGATTTGTATTTTACACCAGAATATTAATCATTATATAGTTCTCTGTATTTATATATATATATATATATTTGACAAAAAAGTGAAACAATGAATTGTCCTTATTTTGCCCAATATGAATATATCAGATGGATAGGAACTGTGGCTAAGAAAAAATTGTTGATAAAAACTAACTTCTAGAAAAAATATGATTTATTGACTTAACATCAAATATTGCATAGTGAAAATTTTCTACTCTTTTGTCTAAGCTTTTTCTTATTTCCTAATAGAAATAAAGTCATTTTCTTCTAACAATATCACACCATTTTGATTTTTATCTTCGCTACTAATACGTCTTAGTCAAGGTTCTGTGAACAGTTAGCTTCGAAAAACGTAAAACTTTGATTCTAGAAGTTCTTTATGTTGATCATCCAGTAACGTACGTATCTAATCAAATAAATCTTTTCACTATCCATATGACCGAATCATCGAATCACTTCAAATTTATCCGATAATAATTAATCAAATAAGGGTTGCGTCTAGCAATTTTCTATCGTATGGTTTCAACGATATTTCGATTGAGAATAATGCAAACAAAGTCACAGATGACACACAACATCATTTGCGCCAGGTTTTCAGATGCTTGAAAGGGGTTTTTTACAAATATTTTTTTAAAACATCTTCATTTAATGGGAATATCTAATATGAATTCTATTGTCTGACATATAACAGATGTTGTTGATAGTCTTTGTATAATTATATAAATATAAGAAAGAAAATCTATATTATATTTTAAACTATCGTCTATCTTCGATGCAAAATATGGTTTCGACTATGCGTGTTTGTCGTCTGTTGTTGTTATTTATTGGTGTTGGTGTTCTAACAGCTCGTAAAGAATGAAAAATAAATTAATCTTGTTATAAATTCATTTTTGTTCTAGTCGAAACGGTCAAACCTTCGACATGCCCCTGTAAGCAAAAGGAAGAATCCATCAACGAATCATCGGATACTGAGACTTGGGACGATAAGCCGGTAGAGTGCACAAAAGATTGCGTCAATGGTTGTACCTGTAAGCAAAGAACGGTCAGGCAAGCAGACACTACTGAAAGTCCATGTGTCAAAGGTGAACACTGCTCAAGCGAAAAAGTTGAACAGGAATGTAGTGAAAATCAAGAGTTCCTTACCTGTGGTACAGCTTGTCCAGAAACCTGCAACAGCAAGCCTCAAATGTGTACCGAACAATGTGTTCAAGGTTGTTTTTGCAAATCTCCTGATTATGTGCGCAAGGATGATAGTCCTAATAGTCCTTGTATCAAACGAGAGCAATGTTCTGTCACAGAAGAATAAGTTAATAATATTATTCTATTAAAATAAAAATAAAACTGCCACAATCGAAGCTTATGAATGCACTTATGATCTTACTGTTTCTCATGGCTTAGTCTCTATCTATTCTCATAATTGATCAGCTTCATTTTATATGAAACACTTAAAATTTCGTCACTAAAAAGAACAATTTCTAGAAAAATAGAATACATAACAGGAACAAGGATCCACATTTTTCATAGAAAGAGATATCTGTTTTGATCGTATAAAATTTGCATTACATGTCACATTCTCAAGGCTCCTGTGTTCTAAAAGTTTATTCAAAAAATTTTTGAGTAGCGATAACTTTAATGTTTGTTATCACTATTTTGACAGAAAGTTTTGTAAACAATAAAGTTATCGAACATATAAACGTGTAGAGTAGACAAAGCGTTAATGAATTTTGAGAACGTAATCAGTCTTCAATAAGAGGAAGAACATTAGAGGTTGTGCAAAATACTTCGAGTACATTGACAGTGCTAAAAAATGATATCGTATTGTTCTCTAATACATGTATAATAAAGCGCGAAAACAGAACTAACAACGATTAGTTTCGCTCACCACTATCCACTCGTTAAAGCAAAAGCAATTTTTTAAGAAAGAACCAATATGATAGTAAAAATAGCTTATTAATCGATTCATTTGTGTCAATAGATATATTTTCAATCCTGCTTATGATAAAAATAAAACTTCTATTGTTTATATTTTTATATTCTCCATCGTTGAATCGATGATAGAGAAAGCGTTATATTTAATCTTTTGAGTACAGAGTAGTTTTTTTAAATATTTTTTTTATTGTGCTTATCAAGCTGTTGGTTTATAGCAATAGTGTTTCCTCAATAGACAGCTGTTTTTTTTATTGTCCTTGTTTTTATAATAACTTAATGATCAGAAAAGATGAAATCGTAGTCTTCTTCTTCTTCCTATAAATATTGATTCATCTGATATTCCATTTGCATCAGTGCTGCTAAATTATGTGCATGCATTTAACTATAATTCAAATGTCTATTTGGAAGATCAGTCATTATCATCAGTATTTTAACCTGGGTGCTGTAGAATAGCAATCCTTTAAAGATATCTTTCTTTCATTCGCTTACACAAGATTTCAATCTTTTCTAATAATGTAACCAAACTTAGGGTAGAAAAATACAAATATATTCATGCATTTGTTGAGCTCAAAATGAACATAATTCAATTATGCATTGTATAGGAAAAAATGAGTTTCTTATAGTTAATAAACTTTCGAAAAATACAAAATTTAAGCCTATAGATATTTAAACATTTCAAAGACCATGCTAATATGAATACGAATTAAATTTTTCTGTAAAAACTGCTGATGATCACTCATCTAAGCAAAGAGTAAATGAGCATAGCCCATTTAGCTATTTCAATATAGACGAAAAAATAGATTCGAACATTCGGCCTAGCATTGGTCGATATCTGATGAATATTCAAACTAGTATCCGATGTAATTAACTTTTTTGGTCATGGTTACAATATGCATAGATCATAGTTCTAGTTTGTTAGAAATTCTTTAGGTAAACTATGTGTTTCCTTGACAAAATTCCAATAGATCAAGTCAATTAGTAAAACCAATGAGAATGTGTTGATATGAAATGGAAGAAAACAAATCTAATTTATTATAGAATAACAAAATTTATCTAATCAAGCAAATAATAGACAACTTAGCTGCAACTTGTAAGATTTTGTCAACGAGAAATCTACTATAACTAATGTCCAACAAAGATATTCTTGTTAACCTTTTGAAACAAAGCAAGAAGAGTCATACTTTTAAAATTTTACTTTTTTTTAGCATTACTATTATTAATAATGTAAATTATGATTATAGAAAAAGAGGTCATTTGTGATATGAAACATCTAATCAGTTAGCAAAAATATAGGATGTGCAACTATTTTAACGGCTGTGACTGCTCGTAAGCAAAGTCCAGCCAAAATCACGATCGTAACTATCGGTGACAGTAGTTACTTCGGTTCCTAATCCTAACAATAGACTATCAGAGAACGACACACTGACATCATTTTAGACAACCTATATAGAAGCGTCACACTCAAACACCCACTAGCGAAATAAGAGCCTGTCAAAAACTAGTGACTTCATCAGTTTGAAATCTTTTCAATGGTATTTAATGCTAGTCTGAAGCATCAGTTATCCGGAGTGCGGTTGCAAGTGTGTCGTTGATGAAAAAACTAAAAAAATCTTTTTCTTTTTAATCAGTCTGATTATTGATGGTGCTTTGAAGTATGGGAGATTACACATTGAGAATTAAAATAGATTTAATGTGCATTGGCAGAATTGCATGTATTTCTCAGTGTACAGCTATCATCAATAGGCAACACCAACAATTGGAATAAAAGTGTTCTAAATTGGTATCAGAACTT